TAGAGCGTGAACTTTCGTCACACAATTTCAAGCCACTAAATATGAAGGTATTTGACCCATACGCTTGTGGAACAAAATCATATTGTAAATCAACTAATTCAATATAAATGATCTCGCGAAGTATAGTAAAACATGAAAAAAACAGCTTTTTTTATTTATCTGTGAATCAAATTCTTTATCGCAGGCTCCAAAAGGATTTGAAAACCGCGTTGACTTGAATGATGTAGGTAGACGTACCTTTGCAGGCAAGTTATTTTCCTAATACACATCTCAACGTCATTTGAGTAGCACGTGTTTCGACGGTATTGAACTAAACGTCCTTATGGTGTGTCTCTAAAAATATATTTTAGTACATTGATATTTTAAATTCGTTATCTATTTTTTTATTATCGTCATATCAGTTTAGTACATTACTTAAATACATTCTCGTATTCTGTGTGATCCGACGACTTCATTTGATTAACGTGTAATATATAGTTGCCTTTAACTTTTAAAATAGTTGCGATATGAACTCGATAAAAACTGGTTGCGTTTTAGTTGGACTTTAATTAAACTCAATTACAATGTTTAATTAAATGAAAGTTGAATATTCAGAGACCGAACATAGAAATGTCAGCAAAGCTTAAATTTATATTAATATTAATATAAACTGTACCATGCCTTCCCCTTCACTAAACCTAAGCTACGCAAAACGTATTAATAATATTAATAATCAAATTAGCTATTCATAAAAATTATGTTAACCGAGGAATATGAAAAAGGTTCTTGGTTGGTGTATATGTTCTCGGTAAGTTGGTATATATTAAAAACAATGTCCACGGTTTACACCTTTCACAAACACACACATACACCCCACTCATATGTAATACATAGTATATTTTGCAAATTCACAGATCGGTGGTTTACACCAGCAGAAAGTCTGAATGTCACAGTACCAGGCGCACCATTGGTAACGGAGAACGTAAACAATAGATATTTGTTCAACTTGAAGGGTGAGCTTTTGTATGGGTAGTATTCAAGCTGATACAAATATGTGCAACAGGAAATGAACTAAACAACAACATGTGGTACATGCATGTAATGCACGTTTCAAATCAATCTCATGTTTTCATGTTGAGTCAAAGCATTATATATGATTTGAAAAGGAAAAAAAAGACAAGCAGTCAACTTTACTGTCAGTTCTATTCTTAACTTAATCGACTTAATTTCATATTTCAGAGGATCCATTGGAAACTAATAATCTGTTCAATGATCCTGACAAACAAGATATTATAAATGAAATGAAGCAGCGCCTCGATGAGTATAGAGCGAGTGCTCCGCCATACTGGTTTCCAGATGGCATGGACCCGAGAGGAAACCCGGCTAATTTCGGTGGTTATTGGACACCTGGATGGTGTTAGAACTTGCTTTCTATCTTATTCAATGTAACTCAAAGTACAGGACTGTGAAGCAAACAAACTGGAAATGTGATACCCATATGACAAGATGTAGAATGCAGAGCATAGATATGTGTAAACGTGCACGGAATTGTTATTCGTGTGTATTGTTGATTATACTCGAATAAATCAACTATTGAATGAACTCTATTTCGCAAGAGTGATAAGTAATAGAATAACATAAAATCAGTTAACGCTGCTATAGAAACGTTTTTATTGGACTGGATGCACCAAAGTACAACTTACTACACTACAATACAAATAACTGTTCTCTTATTGAAAAAAACACCAACAAGTAGACTGTGTGCTAGTCTAACAATCATATCATTGACATAAAAAAACATAAGTTTTGGTTTCCCTGCCAGTAGTCCCATACCATTCATCTAGCATGTGGCTGTCATTCCAGCAGCCTCTTCCGAATCTACCAGAAAGTCAAACTGTCTCCTTTCTCTTTCACTTCCGGTTAACATAACTAGTGGTCTACCGTACACTCGACCACAGAAGTGAATTGCATATTACGTGGGAACACTTATAATGAACGAGTTACAAATAATCT